TCAACAACTTTTTGTAAAATAGTGGTTCAGGGCCAAAACGAAATCGATGACTTGACCGGTTCCCGAGCCAAAATGGTTCATTCATTCGGTTTGGTCCAGTTTTTAAAGTAGTGACTAAAATACTCATTTTTTAATTTAGTCCCTATTTAATTGTAAGGTTTAAATTGTAAATTGAATTACTTTTTACCTCATTCCCTCTATTTAAATCTTACATTATTTTGATAAAGGAACAAAAGAAAAAATATACAACAAAATCATAAAACACTACAAAAAAGAAGAGTTTAGCCAAGTAGGTAGGCATGCCAATGATACTTGAAACTTCATAATCCGATTTGATTACCATATATTTGGATAAGGTGTTTCTGTAATTAGATTTGAATTTTGCAATCTACATCTGATTAATAATAAAAACCACAAAAATAAAAATACATAAAGTTTATAGAAAAATTTGGATATATTATTACTATAGTTATCATCATCTAGAATTGTCACGTGCAAAACACATACACACTTGTTAATAAAACTCAAAATTCAAAATTAAGTGGAATAATAGATTGATAGAAAGAGCTTACTTCAAAGTAGGAAGGCAGCAACTAACAAGAGATCTAGTTCAAGAAAGCAACAAAGGTTGGGTGGCAACAATAATGCAAGGGGTGAAAGCCTTAATGGTGGTAACTTCCAACTTGGATAAAAACAAGAAAGTAGCCAACAATACAAAAATTTAGAAGGTGTTTTACAATGTAAATTGTTTTTTCTTGTTGCCAGTTCCAAAAATAAGTTAAAACTAGACCTGTTCATGGGCCGGGTAGCCCGACAGCCCGGCCCGCACCCCGGCCGGGCTTGGACATATAATTAGGCCCGCGGGCCTGACCTCGGGCTTAACACAGTAAGCCCGACAGTGTTTCGGGCTGGGCTCGGGATTTGTCAAAAAAGCCCGGCCYKAGCCCGGCCYGGCCCRACTCARTATKATATATTTTATAAAATATATAATATGTATTTTATATATTATATAAAATATATAAATAATATAATATTTATTAAAATATATATTTATAATTTAATATATATAT